TTTTGCAGTAAGCCTGCTTGGTGTTTTATCACAAAATTTATTTTTCTGATGAAAATTTTGCTTCTGCGAACAAAATCTAAGCTTTCCTTAACTTCAAATTCTCAACATCTTCCAGCTTTTCTGATTTATTCTTTTTAACTGAGAGGTGGAAAAAAATACCATAAAGTATCATCTCTGTTTATAATATTTTTCAAATTGTGAACAATGGATTTCTGTAGTGATTTCATGTAAAATTTGAAAAATTCAATTGACATCACACAATTCAAGACCCAAAACAACCAAAAGCAATCTACTTGCACTCTATGATTTTGAAGGCCAACAGAACTGACTTATTTTCCCCCAAAATAATTTGTACTATTTAGAATGTACTCAGTGCTGAACCTTGCTGTGTTGGTAAGTTCCAATTCTTTAATGAATCTAAATACTTGAATATTTATTCAATTAAGGATGTATATATGAATGAGGCCTTTGTCATGTGTAGTCACAGAAGCCTCCCTTGAGTCACTAAGCTCTATATTTTAGGTGTTATTAAAAATACTACAACATGATTCAGTGAAAAGCATATATTGCGGTGAGATCTGAAACAGCAAAATTTCAATCTTAGCAGAGTTATTTCAGAAAGCAGTGTGTCACTCCTTGAACAGGAATTGAAAATTCCTATTTCTCTAGAGAGAATTTTTCTTGATTTTTGTCAAAATACAGATAATAGTTATCATGTTCTTATAAAAGAAAAATGCTGAGTTGGAATACAGAAAGGCTTATCCTGGTCAAACTAGTGTGTACTTGTGCTTGCAGCCAGTGCTACTCAGTCCAGCTTTAGAGGCCTGACTTATACGTTGACAGAAGCGGCCATGAGTAGACTTCCTTTCTGGTTGGAACGCAAGGCTTGTCTATTATCTTCTATGGACAACCTTCACCGCGTGTTAAGATCACTCAGTAGTTGTTGTAGGGACGTTTCTGTTTTGAATTAAGTCTCATCCTATATCTATTGGGAATGTGAAACATGGCTTGAGTTCAGTGTGGGGAGTCTTGTAAAAGCTTTGCAGATCACATCCTCAGGCCATTAGCCAGCAAAAATTCCAATAGTATATTCAAATACAGAAAACACTTTTTTTTTTTTTTTTTAAATGTGCTTTAATATGAAACAAAATTGTGCCCTCCAATGAGGGAGGGCAGGTGTGTGAGAGCCAACATAATCGCAAGTTTAGCTTTGTTATGAGCTGTTACAGGTCATATTGTCATGTTTAAGAATTTAAGTTGCAAGTACCCAGAAACGACAGCCTGAAAAAGTTTTGAATTGTTTTCATATAGCTATAGGCTTGGACTGTATGTCCATCCCTGGGCCTTCTGTTATTGTCTTTTCAGTTGTCTTTTTTTTTCTTTTTTTTTTGTAATCTTTTACATGCAACCAGGAGTTCAGATTTACAATTAATTCAGTAACCCTATCGAGTCTTGCAATTCCAGGACCTAGCACCTGGAAAGAAGCTAATTTATTAACAGGTTGTGATAACATCATGAACATGAGTAATCTCCTGTAGATAAATGTATGATTTCTGAAGGATCCAGTGATCTTCATAATCATCCCAGAGGTAGACCAGGGCATCTTCTCTGATCTCAGCGCAGCTGCTGCTGAAGTCTAGGGGTGTGACATTGTGATAAAAGTCTCTTCTTATTTGAGTATGTGGAAGGTCCAAGATGCTCAGAGTTGGTATATTTGCTCCTGTTCATATTAATTGGAGGATTTAGTTTCCCGTGCTTGCCACTTGGCACAAAAAACACCCTTATTTCTCTTCTTTTTCTTTATATAGTAGAAATATTCATACAAATATAATGAACTAGCAACAAAATTATAGGATTCTGTAGGTACAGATCCATGTAGCTAGCTAATTGTAATTAACCTTCTAAACCCTCTTGTTCCAATGCAGCAAAACTAGCCTTTTCAAGTGCCTTTTTTTCTTCTCTTTTCGTACAGTATTTTGCTATTGAGAGGTTTTTCTACAGTGAAAAGAGTTAACAGCAGGTAATGCCATTCATCTTAGGAGGAGGCTGAAATTTTCAGTGTTAGTGATGAATGAGGGTATCTGACCCACATCTGCTTCCCATTAGAATGGAACATTGCCCTGACATCGTTAGGAGCATTTGTCAGGATTCCCTGGACAGAGCTTCTGTAAATTACATGCTGCAAATGTGTCAGGGTCAGATAAGAGGATATCATTAACTCCACTAAAGTTTACTCATGATTCTGTCAGTTCAACTTAATACGTTAACTGCCAACAATTTTCCTTGAGCTGTTTCATTAAATCTTTCATTCACAGGAGGGGGGAAAACTGTATCACTGTACCCCCAAAATATTGCACATGTTCTTTTCTCATAAATCATATTAATTGCAGACATGGTCACAAAGCATATTAAATGCAGGCATGCGTAAATGAATTAAAACATATGAGAATTTTATTGTGCCTATGGTAGGTCCTACATCCTAAAATACCAACCGCATTAACAGGCATAATGTTTCATTTAAAGGGAATAAGCTTTTTCTCAGTTTAATAGCCTTTATTTTGTTGATAATAGAAGTATTTCTTATAATAGCTGATAATGGACCAGATGTTGCTTACACATTTTGAAAGCTTTCATCATACAACTTCTCCTCCTCTTTCTGGATCATATCCTCGTCTAGGGATGTTAAGCTGATCCTACCAGCTAGGGATATTTGGCCTAATGAATATTTGGGATTGTTGCTCTCAAAAAGCAACAATCTCTTCTGCAGAGTTTGCTGTTTGCAGATCATTGTATTCTTTTTTTTTTTTTTTCTTCCTAAATGCAGCTTTGTTTTCTAATAGCATATAATTTTATCAATTGTATATGCTATTTGTTGCATATAAGCTCAAAGCCTCCACATCAGCATTTCAGGGTGGTTTTTATTTTAATTGAGAACAAAACATATCACGTAACCCAAACCCTTACAACCCGATCTCTGGCATTTATAGGAGTTGTTCTGAGTAGTTACAGCAGCATTTGGCCCTGGCTGTTAGATCAGCCCTTGTTTTCCTTTTCATGTTGTTTGTTCTCGCTACCTTTTCTGGGACCCATGTCCGTGTGGGGGACAACTGTCATCTCGGCTTTCCCAAGCTAATCCAGAATCTGTTAGACCTAGATGGCGTACGGACTGATTAAATTTCTTGTACTCCTTAGTTATTATATTTAGAACTATATTGCTTCATGCAAGCAGCAGATCTGACCTGCAAGACCTGAACTTTCCCGTGTCTCCTGTACAGAGCTAAGCTGAGGCTGTTGAACACTGCAGAACTGGCCCGTTAATGGCTTTCTAATTGATTAGGTGAAAGTCGGCTATGCCCTTCCTGTAACTCCTTGTATGGGTGATAAGGTCATGGCACATACCGTGCAAAAGACTTCTGCCTCGAGGCTACTTCCCTTATAGCTTTCAAAACAGACATGACCAAAAATCTAATTATTTAGATACTAATCAACTGCAGGATGATTCCTAAGGCCTCTGGAGGAGGTATTTCTGAGGAGATGGTTACTGTTCAGATTCAGTTTTCTCTGCCTCAAACTGTCTTAAAAGTGTCCGAGTTATTAGATGCATATGCACTTAATAAAAAGATGCCTAAAGACTTGTGTTACGATGTAGTTAATTTTAAACTCTTAAATTAAAACTCATTAAATGTTAATTTTAGTTCGTTAGAGAAGATAAATCTCCTGGAGGTTGGCCCCAGCAAAAACATTAGATATTGATGCTACTAAAATTTGGGTGGTTTTGAGGCAGTGTCTGGTTGAAAGCTTTAAATCTCAAAGATAAATTCTCATTCTCTCTCTAGAATAACTGCTAAAATAAATCCCTTTTTTTTTTTTTTGCATTCACGTTTTCAGTGTCAGTGTTCAAATGATGTTGTTTGGGGCTTTGTTCTATTGAAACCATTAAACAGAAAAGAGGTTAGCTACTCTAAGTACATAGTATATTTTTTGAGGTGTTACCTGATCTATTTGCTTAATTTGAAAACTTTTTTTTTCCCCTGATAAAACCATGTGTATTTTAAAACATAGTCAAAACCACGCTACTTGTACTAATGTAAATACTTTCTAAAGTAACAGTTTACAATATAAATGAACGATGTGTGTGCTTTTTGTGCATTTTTTTTAAAGTGTATTAGTGTTAATCTTGAAAGATGAAGATTAGTTCAGTATGAAATGAACACAGATTCTAATTTAGCTAATACTGTGTCCTGCTGATCCAATACCAGACCATTAAGCATGCCAGAGTTTGTAGGAGCAGGTAATTTTCCAAAGGGATAAGAAAAATATTTGTTGTTCCTAAAATGGAAAAGAAACTTGAGTAGTCCTAATAAATATTAATATTTTTTTTAGGATCCAATTTGGAAGAGAGAAAAAAAAAAAGTTATTTCAGCTTTTAAGGGGTTGGCAGACAGTGCACACAGCAGCAGTGTGAGTTTCATGTGCTCTGCCCCTTCCCAGTTCTGCCTGTTCTCCTGGGTGCTGGAGTCTTTTGTTACTCCCATCATCAGTTGTGTTTCTGTGATTGCTTCCAAATTTTAGTGTTTTAGTGATTATTGACCTCACAGCAATTATTTGTGTGAGCTTTTTCACACCTTCTCTGCATGTGTAGACTACACACAACAGCTCGAGTGTGACTGAAGATCCATCACCTGTTTCTTGGTCTCTTGAATCAAGACCGTGAGGAACAAACACTTATGGAAGGCCCAGTTGGGTCACAAGAGCAGCCAATCTAAAACTTTTAAGTTTTTTTTCAATCTTGTTTGCTTCATTCCTTATTTTGCCATCTTTGTGCATCACTCTTTTTTCACTTTTTTTCTTCTTTTTGATTAGGATACCCAAAGCACTGGTTCAATAGCAAGCCTACTTATCTTTAGGAAATAACTGAGGGGCTTCGGTAGGCCTGCGGCTGTGTGCAACGCAGCCTTCGTGTATTTTAACTCTTTGTGTTATTACACCCCTTCTTTTAGGTAATGGGCCTCCTGACCAACCACGGCGGGGTGCCTCACCAGCCCCAAACTGATTATGCCCTGTCCCCCCTCACCGGGGGTCTGGAGCCCACCACCACGGTGTCGGCCAGCTGCAGCCAGCGGCTCGAGCACATGAAGAGCCTGGACAGCCTGCCCACGTCCCAGTCCTACTGCCCACCCACCTACAGCACCACGGGCTACAGCATGGACCCCGTCACCGGCTACCAGTATGGACAGTATGGACAAAGTGAGTACTGGGGCCTTCACATGGCCAAGTAGGATAGCGTAACCGCTGAGCAATGCTCTGCTTTCTGCTTGCAATGCAAAAAAAAATCTGAGAATAGGTCCTAATGCTCCACTACTGCTTCTCTCCAAACGGGGCTGAGCACTGCTGAGATAGCTGATTGTTCAAGCAAGATTTCTGCTGCATAATTATTTTCTTAAGTGATGTCAACAACATCTTGATGTTATTAATTGTTGAGACATGAAACCTGATTGCCATTAGGTAGAACATAAGGATTGTCCAAAATGAAATAACCACTGGCATTCCACTATTAGAAACATATGTTCTTAATGAGGTCAGCTCAAGAATCATTATAGTATATAATCCCAGATACATCGAGTTTTGTCAAACTTGTCCTAGGAATAAAAATATTAGTCTCTTTCCTTTGATATATCAGTATTAAATATGACAATGTCAACCTGTAGTTGGCATGGCCCCATGCTGTGAGGTTGTCACAGCATGACTTAAAAAGCTTCTTTTGCTTTTTTGCAGGTGCCTTTCATTATCTGAAGCCAGATATTGCATAAATGAACTGTCCACTCCAAGTTAAAGCTGGTCTTGTTTTCCGGTCTCACTCCAGTGCTTGGATACGAGGGATCTTCTCACCACACTGCAGCCTAAACTGGGGCAATCCCAATGAGAGAAGCAGGCTTGTTATGTTCTCTCCTGTCATTGCTTTTACTAGACCTCTTTGAAGGCTGGGCAAAATTATTCAGAAGACAAAGGCCAAAAGCAATAATGAATAAATAAATGCAACATGGTTCAGTATAAATGGGTTTATGAAACAGAGCAGTATTTAATATCACTGCCTGGCAAAACATTCCATTTTTTTTATTGCTGAAATTAATGTGCATCGATAGGGACAAATAGAGAATTTTGAAAATTAGTTGAGCTCTGCATGAGTCTCCCCTGACTCATCTGGCAACCGATGCTGACTCTAGTCTAACTTCAAACTTGCTCAGCCTCTGACGTGTGGGCAACAGAATCTCTTTCACTTTACACACTGGAAATGGTCATCGAGAGGAAATGTCACTGTCTGTAAGAAGTTAAGATGAGCACAAAAGCCTCCAGAGTAACCTACTGGTTATCTCACCATGCTCTCGTAATCATACCGTCAATAAATGTCACTCATAAGTTTTGTTTTTCCAGCAAACAAGATTTTGTGTAACACAAAAAACAGATTTTACCTTTTTGTATGTGGAGTTTTCCTAGGCCATGCCGTGTTTTGGAGCAAACAAGGAAAAAAATCAACAACGTGATTCTGATTTTTCACAACTGCCTAACAATGTGCAATACTGTGTACCTCACACAAACTTTGGGATCATCCAAAGTCATATAGATAGAATCAGAACTATATTTTTGCAGGTACTTTTATTTTTGCATTGCATAATTCCTGAGGATAAAATACAGAACCATTGCAGAGTGCTGGAGAACTAAAATCCAGCTTATTATTCATGAGTTAAAGGTCATTTTCAGGAAATAGTACGAAGACACAATTACGTTTACATATCTTTGGTTACGAGCAGGACTTGAACAGAAACAGTCCTGTATTTGATACATTTGTTTAAATTATACAGTGATCTCCATTATAGAAAATAATAATAGGAAAAAAAAAGGTTTACAAGAAGTTTGCATTGTGACATTTTAGAATGTCAATAAATTTGTGTTTTGTGATGTTGACACGAACAGGAAGATGGAAGGCGGTGTTATTTATTTCTCTCTTCTAGAAACGAAGAGGGAGGCAGAACACAAATACATTCCTTCTAGCGTTAAGGACTATGAAGTAGCGAGTTAGATTAGGTTCAGTACAGAGATTAGTTCACACATTGGTCTTAAGGGTGATGGAAAAACAAAATGCTCTCTTTGTGTTGCAGCCTCTACCGACAACACGTGTTGTAAAAAAACGTCTTTCATGTAAAAAGTTCAGTAAATATTTACTATTTATAATGAATAAACAGTTATGAAGACTTGCAAAGCACTGATGATTTTGTCCTAAAATGTAGTATTGTGCTAAATACGTTGATACATTTTAATCTGAATATCATGAAGAAATAAACCATGTTATCTTCAACTCCACCTGTATGTATTATGTAAGTGTATCCTGCACACGCCCTAAGGCTGTGGTAGCCCCCATGTCTCTAACACACCCCCAGCTTTGTGCTGCTTCATCAACGAACTGGGTGTTTTCCAAATCCTATCAGTACCAGCACTGCTCTCTGCGAATGGGAACAGCGGTGTGCCTTGGCCGGTCACCCGTACCTTTCCCCCTCTTCTCCCCTTTCCCCCCCTTCCGTTCCCCCTTCCGTTCCCCCTTCCGTTCCCCC